AGGGTATAGAATTAAAGCTGGATATTACAAGTTTATATATAGGGGTGTGCAGGGTATAGACTTAAAGCTGAATATAACAAGTTTATATATAGGGGTGTGCAGGGTATATAATTAAAGCTGAGTATAACAAGTTTATATATAGGGGTGTCAGGGTATAGAATTAAAGCTGAATATAACAAGTTTATATAAAGGGGTGTGCAGGGTATATAATTAAAGCTGAATATAACAAGTTTATATATAGGGGTGTGCAGGGTATAGAATTAAAGCTGGATCTTACAAGTTTATATATAGGGGTGTCAAGGTATAGAATTAAAGCTGAATATATCAAGTTTATATAAAGGGGTGTGCAGGGTATAGAATTAAAGCTGGATATAACAAGTTTATAAAACCTACCAAAAGTGAAAGGTATGTATATGGTTTGAGAGGTACATTTGTAAAAAAAGGTTCACATATATTTAAAAAATAAATAAAGATTCTAATGAAAATAGTTTTCTGTGAAATATTTTACACATAATATTTCATATATTTGGAGACAGTTACTGATGCTGAGTTCGTTGAAGACGTTGATATCTGTTGAAAATTATAGATTATGTAGCTAGGTATTACATACATTTGTTCACCGACTTGTTTTAGTTGATTTCGGCGGGTTGTGTCTGGTTTTAATCACCATCCTTAAATAACGTCTAAATTAACGTAACATCCACCAAACGCGATTCGAATAACACAATTTACTGGTATCATCTCACTAAAACAAACGTAATTTGATAAGTCTTCTGGGACGAGCCGAACACTGCTAGGAGACGTCGGTCGATACACCGTATACTGATTATAACGTGGTGTTTCCGAGCAGTTCAGTTAGTATTTCAAATATTACCATGACATGAAGTCATAAAATGTTAATAAGTGTATGTTTCCTGATGAAGTGTTTATGTACAAAAAACAGTGTTTTGTACGTCACAGGACCGGCAGTTCGTGACGATATCGGCAAACCAAATACCATTTCGGCCGTCAAACTAGGCTCAATTGTCGCTATAGTTCGTGGAATCCAGTCTGTCCATCCCCTCTGCAACACGCCGGAGTGGCACACCTAACTATAAGCGGAGATCGCCTTGTTATGATTTAATCATCTTGACAATTTGACTTATAAATAGTAGAGCAAATGGTCGCATTTGAATAATTTGATAAAGATGAAAATTCCGGAAGACTATTTTGTGGTAATCGCAGGAAACATTTATTTTTGTTGTTGATGAATCCATCGGTAGCTTTAGATAGTGTTCGAAATGCTATCATAGACTGTGTGATCATTTTTGGTCCCTCGGAAACCTAATGTGCGAAGTATATACAGCTTAATGTCACATTTAAGTGAAAGTTTGGGAATCGTTATTATTAATATAACTGAAGACAAAACATTTTTGTCATAAGATTCAAAGTTATCACCGTCTTAATAAACACATAAATTACTTATATTTCAGCATATTGATTTTTGAAAACTTGAAAATGGAGAAAAGTGTATGTCCGATAGGGTTGATGGGGCTTATATTATGTGTATCCTGTTCGTTGGGGTTATTGTTGGCACGAATTACACTACCATCCTTACTATCGTTCCTACTAAAGATCTACATATCAACACCTCTTTATCACAATTAAGCCAGGTCAACATGTAAGAAAATGTTTCAAGAAATATCAGATGAACCTTTCCAGTGGAACATTTTTTTACAGATGAAAAACGGTATGACCGCCCGTGACCATTCCCAATCAGATCATACAATAATGTAGTATCAAAACCAGATTGCGTCGTGGCGTACCAAAATTATCCGGAATTCCTGTAGATATAATTTAAGACGAGAAGTAACGAGGCGATGGTACTTGTACAAGTTGTAATAGTATACCATGCCAGCACCTCAGTGCCCTGAGCCTCTGTGTGTAAGAAGAATGACCATATCTACAATGTATTGTTAGTTTGACGCTTAAGTTTAGAAAAAACAACCGACAGAGCATGTACCTGCATACAGTTTCAAGTGGAATAGATTCTACCGACACACATAGTTAGACAGAATCTATATTTGTCTAAATATATAAATACATAAATAGTTTAGGCGGAATCTAGGCGGGATCTAGAGTTTCTATGCACAGAAAGGTTAGGCGGAATCTACAGTTTTCTACGTAGACAAAAATAAGCGGAATTTTTAGTTTTTTTTATGGTCCTAATAATTCAGGCGGAATCTACAATTTTTAAAGTACACATAGAGTTTAGGCGGAATCTATATTTTCCTCACACGATTTATGTGGATCAACATTTTTTTTATGTACACACAGATTAAGGTGGACTCTAGTTGTTTTTGTAGACAAATTATAGGCGGAATCTACAACTTCCTATTTACATGTATACACAGTTTAGGCGGAATGTACACATAGTATAGGCACACTCTACAGTTTTCTCTGTACACATTTGTGGCAGGGTTAAAATCTTAAGAGTGTATATAGTAAGTTTTAATTCTAA